TTTCTTCTATCTTTAGATATATTTAAACATATTTAGTATCTAATATTTTTACATATATTATAATAAGGAGAAAGTTCTATGTGAAAGTAATTTAAATAAAATTATTTTGTCAATTGTGAAAAATGTAGATTTTTGTTTTCTGGACATATGTAGTATTATTAAAATAAAGAGAGAGATCAAATTATACTAGAGACCCATAATAACAAAAGCAACATGATATTGGCACAAAAACAGACATATAGACCAATAGAATAGAAGGTCCAGAAGTAAATCCATATAGCTACAGCCATCTGGTTTTCCACAAAAGACCTAAAATGTACATGGTAGAAAGAACAGCCTCTTCAGTAAATGGTGCTAGGGAAGTGGATACACACATGCAGAAGACTGAATCTAGATTCTTATCAGTCATAAAAAAATACACTGGGGCATGATAAATTTTGTGGGTCTCTAGACATTTACACAGTGAGACCAAAGGAGGATATTCATAAGAGCAGATCACAAAGTCTCAACATCTTTGTGCATATGATCATATAAAATAATATTTTTTTGAAGTGAACTCCAAAAAATGGAAACAAGAGAGTTTTTGTTTTGTTTTGTTTGATTTTTGGGCTTGAACTCAGGGCCTGGGCACTTTCCCTGAGCTCTTTTGCTCAAGGCTAGTGCTCTACTACTTTGAGCCACAGCTCCACTTGGAGTTTTGGAGTGGTTAATTGAGATGAGTGTCATGGGGCCTTTTCTGCCCAGGCTTTGAAACATGATCATCAGATCTCAGCCTCGAGGCTGGGAATGTGGCCTAATGGTAGAGTGTTTGCCTTACATGCATGAAACCCTGGGTTTGATTTCTCAGTACTACATAAACAGAAAAAGCCAGAAGTGGCACTGTGGCTCAAGTGGTAGAGTGCTAGCCTTGTGCAAATGAAGCTCAGGGACAGTGCTCAGGCTCTGAGTTCAAGCCCCAGGACTGGCAGGGGAAAAAAAAATGACCAATGACTGACAAAAAAAAAAAATCTGATCTCAGCCTCCTGAGTAGCTATGATTACAGGCATGAGCCACTAGCATCAGGCAAGATTTTTGTTGTTGTTATTGCTGATTTTGTTGTCCTTTACTTTTTCTTGTTTATTAGTTTATTTGTCTTTGGGAGAGCAAGGGGGAGCACATTTTCTGTTGAAAATGAAATATACAACTTGTGGGTGGGGACAACAGGAGGGAAAAACTGGGAGAAAATGAGAAAAGAAATTTACTCATGTGCTTTCTTTCAAAAACTCATAACCTGACTTGTATAATTGTAACCCCTCTGTACATCAGCTCTACAATAACAATAAACAATATTAAAAATGGATCAAAGATTTAAATGTAAAGCCTGAAACTTTGAAACTATTTGAGTAAAATATAGGAAAGATTCTTGCAAATATAGGCAGGGACAACATCTTTCTAAACAAGATTCCAGGTGCTCAGGAAATAAGAGAAGAAATCGACGAGTAAGATTTTATCAAATTAAAAACCTTCTTTACAGCAATGGAAACAGTTTCCAGAATCAAAAGACAATCTACGTGATGGGAGAAAGTCTTTACCGGCTAAAAGTCTACATAAAGAGCTCCAAAAATTAAACTTAAAACACAACAGGCATCCAATTAAGGAATGGGCAAATAAATTGTGTAGCTCTCAAAAGAAGAAATATAAATGACTAATAAACATATGAGGAAATGTTAATATCCTTAGCCATAAAGGAAATGGAAGTCAAAACGACACTGAAATTCATTTCACCTCAATCAGAATGGCAAACTTCAAGAAACTAAACAACAACAATTATTCATGAGGATCTAGGGTTAAGGAGGCCATTACACTGTTGGTGGGTATGTTAAATCAGCCACTATGTAAATTAGTACAGAGATTTTTTCAGAGAAACCTAAAAATAGAACTATTATACGAACCAGTTATACTAGTGTTGAGCATTCATCCAATAAAGTGTACGTTAGCATACAAATGTAAGTCAACATACAATTGAGATACAGGCACATCCATATTTTTTTGTGGTGGCACAATTTACTTCAGCTATGATATTAGTCTACGTGTCCATCAACTGATGAATGGGTAAAGAAAATGTGCCACATAGACACAATGGCGGATGGTTGGTTCAGCCATAAAGAAGAAAGAAATGATATTGGCAGGAGAACAGTGGAACTGGAAATTATTGTAAGTGAAATGAGCCAGACAGACAACAGTGCGTGTTCTCTTTCATATGGTGAATCTAGACCTAAGAAAAGAAAGAAAGAAAGGAAAAAGAGAGAAAGAAAAAGAAGAAAAGAGTCAGAGTGGGGCTGGGGAGGGGGAAGGAGGTGTCAAAGGGAGGAAATCAGATGGAGAGGGGGAAGGGTGGGTGAATACAGTGATACTATTCAATGTACATGTGTGCAAATAGAACCAGATAACTTAAGGGGATTGGCGAGTTTGGGACAGACAGGGGACAATGATGGAAGGGGAGACATTGATCCAGATGCATTGTACTCATAAGCAGACATGTTGAATTGAAGCCCCTTTGTACAACTACTTAAAAGTAATTTAAAAAAATTTTAAAAGAAAAAGGAGTGCAAAATGGAATCTCTGTATCTTTCCTCTGAGAGGAGCTAAATGTGTATGAGGAGGCAGAGCCTGGGTGTGTGGCACCCTGTGGTGACAGCCTGTGACCGTGCTATGGGCTGAGTGTTTTCTAAATGGCCAGACCCTGCCCTGGCTGTGCAGTGTTTTCCACACTTTTTCTGGGTGGGCTGACCTCTTCAAGCTCATTCACAGACAGGCTAACCAATCCTTTACATGTAGCGACTCATCCAAACACTCAGTTTCTACCAAGGCTGACAATTACAAAGAGGAAGAAAAGGAGGTAATTGTAGGTTCTAAGAGATAGTACCTTTCTTGTGGTCAGTTCCATCTATGTGTGACATGAAAAACGTTCAAGTCAGAAAGAGGCTCTGGGTTTCATGGAGCTCCTGCTGTCTATTTTCATTTCCTCAGGCAAGATACGACCTTACCTCTTATATCTGCTACTCATTCTAGACAGATACTTTAGATGAAAAAAGACTTCTAAAGACAGGAAGTAGAGAGATGACAAAATGCCTTGTAATAAGCCCTTCCAAATTTAGAAGCAGGCATCTGGCATGGTCCTCAGAGAGGACTTTCTGCTCACAGATGTGACACTGGCCTGGAGACCTCCCTCCCTCCTTCCCCTCCTCCCAAACTCTGCTTGGGGACAGGTTATAGGATTGGAATCTCTTGACTTCTTTCCCAGAACGCTTTCCAAACCACCTCACAGCCTGTGGCCTGTTTTATATGTGGAGAAAAAAATGCTTTATTAATGGTCATTTATTTCATGACATTGCCTAATTTGAAAATAACTTTACTAATTTAAGTTATAATATTCTTTAACCATAAAGAAGAATGAAATTAGATTGTCTGCAGGAAAATGGATAGAACTGAAGAACATGATGTTAAGTGAAAATCTGCCAGGCTAAGCAAGAAAAAGATCACATATTTTCTCTCATATGTAGACTCTAGACTAAAATAAAAAAATGACGAGTGGCCCTTGTCTTCGTCTTCGCAGACATCGCCCGGCTCCCGGCAGACTCCTGTCCGCCATCTTTTCTTTTCTTTCTTTTTTTATTTTTTTAGATTTTTATTTATTTATTATTATTATTATTTTTTTCTCTTTTTTTATTGTGAAAATACTGTACAGAGGGGTTACAATTACATGGGCAAGATAGTGAGTACATTTCTTATCAAGCATTGTAGCCTCCTCCTTTGTTTACCCTTCCCATTCCTTCCCATCCTCCCTACCCCCCACCCAATCCTCCCCCCTCCCCAAGTTGTAAAGTTCGTTTTTGACATGACAACTTGTACTTTTCATTGTTGCAACAGGTCTACCTGTATCCTTATTTAAATGACTTATTTTTTCCCCTTCCCCTCCACAAATGATACCAACATCAAATACAGTGAAAGCAGGGGTTATACTGTGGGGGAGGAACATACAAAGCATCTTATAATTGCGTTAGAAACATATGCATGAAAGAAAAAAACATTTAAATACATATCTAAGGGTTCATTTTCCTAACATCACATTATCTGACCTTTTCTGCTTGACTCATACATATACTAGATATTGCAAATAAGGGAAATCATGGGATCTATGTTTCTTTGGGCTTGGCTTACTTCACTTAATATAATTCTTTCCAAGTCTTTCCATTTCTTAACAAATGGGGCAATGTCATTCTTTCTGATGGAGGCATAGAATTCCATTATGTATATATACCACATTTTCTTGATCTATTCATCTATTGAGGGGAATCTGGGTTGGTTCCAGATCTTAGCTATGGTAAATAATGCTGCAATAAACATAGTTGTGCTGGTAGCTTTAGTGTGGTCTTGTTTGTAAACATTTGGGTAAATGCCCAAAAGTGGGACTGCTGGGTCATAGGGGAGCTCTATGTGGAGCCTTTTGAGGAACCTCCATACTACTTTCCAAAGTGGTTGAACAAGTTTACACTTCCACCAACAATGAAGAAGGTTCCCTTCTGTCCACATCCCCTCCAGCATCTGTTGTTATTAGAGTTCTTGATTATAGCCATTCTAACTAGGGTGAGGTGGTATCTCAATGTTGTTTTGATTTGCATTTCTTTTATGGCTAGGGAGTTTGAGCATTTCTTCATGTGTCTATTGGCCATCCTTCTTTCTTCTTCAGAGAAGTTTCTCTTTAAGTCATTAGCCCACTTATTTATTGGGCAGTTGTTTCTTTGAGGATTTGTTGTTGGGGGATTTAATTTTTTGAGTTCCAAGTATATTTTAGATATGAGACCCTTCTCTGTTATATAGTTAGTGAAGATCTTCTCCCAATCCGTGGGCTATTGATCTTGCTAGCTATGTCCTTTGCCCTGCAGAAGCTCTGCAGCTTCATGCAATCCCATTTGTCGAATCTTTCTTTCAGGGATCATTTCTATAGTTCGTTACTGTCCGCCGTCTTTTCGAGACCAAACACCATGCCTTCAATTAAGTTACAGAGTTCTGATGGACAAATAGTTGAAGTTGATGTAGAAATTGCCAAACAATTTGTGACCATCAAGACCATGTTGGAAGATCTGGGAATGGATGATGAAGGAGATGATGACCCAGTTCCTCTACCACATGTTAATGCAGCAATATTAAAAAAGGTCATTCCGTGGTGCACCCACCACAAGGATGATCCTCCTCCTCCTGAGGATGATGAGAACAAAGAAAAGCGTACAGATGATATTCCTGTTTGGGACCAAGAATTCCTGAAAGTTGACCAAGGAACACCTTTTGAACTTATTCTGGTTGCAAACTACTTAGACATCAAAGGTTTGCTTGATGTCACATGTAAGACTGTTGCCAATATGATTAAGGAGAAAACTCCTGAGGAGATTCACAAAGCTTTCAATATCAAAAATGACTTTACTGAAGAGGAGGAAGCCCAGGTACGCAAAGAGAACCAGTGGTGTGAAGAGAAGTGAAATGTGCCTGACACTGTAACATTACAAGGATTGTCCCGAATACTAGTTGCACTGCTCTGTTTATAATTGTTAATATTAGACAAACAGTAGACAAATGCAACAGCACATCAATTGTATTAGCGTAATATTGTCCTCATTGCATGTGTAGTTTGAATACACATCCCAAACTTTGGCTGAGTTTCTTCTAGTCTGAGTGAAAGCTTCTCTTTTCTGAATAAAACAATTGTGGGTTCTCTGTGGAAAGTGGCATTTTAGGATTTCTCTTTCTGTTAAGAGCAATTTCTGCCTAGTTTATTGTCTAGTTAACTTTAGTTAAGCTTGCAGAAGTTGGCTTGTAAATAAAACAAGTTGCAACAAGGTTTCTGATAGAATTAACAAAATATATCTTTATTCACAAATTGGAAACCGGAAAAAGGCTATTTGAAGTTAATGTTCTTAGAGGGGTTTTTAGTATATTGTCTAGAGTCTAGGTAGGACCACTGGTATGTATGAAGCAGGGTTCTTAATTGGATCTGAGGACTCTTTTTTCACCTAATTTTTAATCTCAACTTTGAATACGTTGCCTAGAGATTCAGTTACTACCAAGTTTAGGTAGTGTTTTGGGGGGAGAACTGTAACTAGACAACTGGTTAGTTTTTTGATTAAAAACAATTTATGTGGTATGTCATCTTTTTCTGATCAGGGTTTCCTTGTGGAGAAAATAGTTCATATTAGTTGCATGTAAAAAAGCAATTAAACCTTTGCCATTGAGTAGGTGGCTAAATTAAAAAATCCTTCATAAGATTCTTTCAATAAAAAGTAAGTTGCAGAGTAAAAAAAAAATGACATAAGTGCAAAGCAGGGACTGTTTGTAGGTAGAATTATTCGGATTACATTCTATGCATAGATGGAAATGTCCCAATGAAACTCCTTGATACTATTAAGATATGCTAATAAGAAAGTGACAGTACGCTGAAATGTAGAAGAAGAGAGAGTCAGAAACTACTGGGAAGTAAGAATCTGGCTACAAAGATCTCCCCTTTTTGTAGACTGTCTTTTTAGCTTGTTGGCTATGTCTTCTGCCATGCAGAAACTTGTGATATATATATATGTATATGTATATATATATATATATATATATATACACACACACACACATATATATATATATATTCCATTAGGAAGAAAAAAACCAGGGTTGGTGAGATAGGGGTTAGGGATCATGGTTTCTAAACAACTATGTAGAATTATTTAATTCATTCTATGTATGTATAACATCAATAAGATAAACTAAAAACAAATCAGGAAAAAAAAATCTGGCCAAAGTTGATTTCTAGGCTGGAGTGCAGTCTATGGGTATTCTAGACTGCAATGTAAGTAAAAGTTTGGGCGTGTATTCATATGTCAAAAAAACCCAACCAAACAAACACAAAACAACCAGTGAAAGAATGCAGAAATACAAATACAATAGAGGCCTACTTAACAGAAATATTACTGAGAAGTTGTCTAAATGTCAATACAAGTCCTTCTTTGTACTAACTGTATAAATGGGGGTCTCCAGATTTCATATAAGAATAGAAGTCCAGTTTAATTTCCTGTGAATATTTCAGTCCTAGGGACAGGGTGTGGGGAAGCTGACAGTGAAATCCTTTGTCTGCCAGGGAAGGTTGCAAGGGGAAGAGTGGGAAGCATGATCAAAGCTCTCCCTTTTCTAGGCTGTGATAACAGGGATCATCTCCAGGTACAGCTGGAGATGGTACAAGAGAGGGACTGTGGTTGGAACTCACTAGGTAACAATGGTAGGAGGTGGACCCTGTGGTGGTTTGGTGAGAGAGCTGTACTGAGGTGGCTTCTGATGGCGTGCTGGACTTTACTGCTTTCTGTGTTCCCTAGGCTGAATAGGTGGGATTCCAGATGTATACCACCATGACTGAATCATAATCATTAATGATTATGATTTTGGGTTAATGAACTTTTTAATTCTTCAGGGTAATGCTGACATGTTTATAGGGACCTATGAGGGTGTTATTCCAAAGGACAGAGAAGCAGGGAAATTTCAGGCTACCTCAGGAAAATGGAAAAGGGACTTTGAAGGGGATTTCCAAGCTATACTACATATTTCTTTGCGGAACACTTTCTTGGAGCCACACCAATTGTACACCATCTTGTATAAGATCTTTCCTTTCTTTCCTTTCCTTTCCTTGCCTTGCCTTTCCTTTCCTTTCTCCCTCCCTCCCTCTCTCCCTTCCTTCCTTTTTCTCTTTCCTTCTCTTTTTCTCTTTTAGTTCTTTCTCTTTCTGTTCTCTCTTCCTGTCTTTCCTTCCTTCCTTCCTTCCTTCCTTCCTTCCTTCCTTCCTCCTTCCTTCCTTCCTTCCTTCCTCCTTCCTTCCTTCCTTCCTTCCTTCCTTCCTTCCTTCCTTCCTTCCTTCCTTCCTTCCTTCCTTCCTTCCTTCCTTCCTTCCCTCCCTCCCCCCTCCACCTCTCTCCCCAATCTTGTCCTGGGGCTTAAATTCAGGGCCTGGGCACTGTCTCTGTTTTTGTTTTGCTCAAGACTAGCACTTTATCATTTGAGCCACAGTTCCCCGTATGGCTTTTTGGTGGTTAACTGGAGATAAAAGTCTTTCTTGTCCTGGAGATAAGACTTTTCTGTCATGGCTGACTTTGACCCAAAATTCTCATATCAGCCTCTTGAGTAGCTAGGATTATGCTCAGCTAAGGTATTTTTTTCTTACACAAAACAACATTTCTGTTTACTACTAAATCCCTTCCCTTCTCCTCATCCTTTTCCTTCTCTTTTCTCTTTGTCCTGGGTTTTGAACTAGGGCTCCTATGCTTTCTAGGCAAGCACTGTCACTTGAGCCACATACTCTCGTCCAGTTTTGCTTCAGTGTACAGTTAAGGTCTTGTGCTTTTGCCAAGGCTGGGCTTGGACTGACATCCTCTTCTGTTTTTTGGCTAGGCAGGATTCCAGATGCACACCACCATGATTGAGTCATAATCATTGATGACTATGATGTTAGGTTAATGAACTTTTTTTGGCATATTTTCAGAAGTGTCTAAAGTTTGGGTTATCCAGGGTGTCAGGATTTTCACATAGTGACATTGAGCTGGAGTTGGGAGGTTGCCCTGAAGTCATATTATTAACTGTGTTAATACCAGGTCATGAGTCTCAGCAGCTACCTGTGAAGGGTTTGGTTGCCATGGTTGGGCATTGGCAGAGTCCTCCCCCATGTTTTTAACACTGGATATGAGGTGTGCTCCTCTAAGGGGCCTCAGATTGCAGAAATGATATTTGCAGCCAGAGAATTTATAATTTGGTACATATGGCCAGTTTTTATTTTGTTTATTTTTAGCAACTTTCCTTCTTCCGTTTGCATTTTCCCACACCCACTCCCACTTAGAGTTGGCTGTCCTTCCAGTACCTTCTCACCACTACAAACTTACAGCAACACACAGATTTCTCTATGTTCTGATAGAAATCACTCCCAGTTGTATTACTCGCCTTCTGTTTTCTTCTGATTGTTTGTGACATAACTGTTCTTTTAAGCTTGTAGATTAAACATTAAATAGAAGTTAAGGATATAGTCATGGGGCCCTTTCATTCCTTGACTGTGTAGGAAGGCAGGGGAGAGGGTAGCCTGGGGTGAGTAAGGCTTCTATAGAGTAGTGGTACAGGATGTGAGGTTGAGGGAGAAGCTAGATGATACAGCTTTATAAAGTATTGTGGAGCCAGACAGGTTTTAACTGGAATGCTAATTCAGCTACTGATTGACAAGTGGTTTTTGTCCTGACATCTCTCAGCTTACCTTATCGGTAAAATAAACTCACAAATTGTTATGGTAATCAAGCAAGATGATGGATATGAGAGTACATATTGTCACATATCAGACACTTCATAAATATTACTCTCTCTTTCTCGCTCTTTCATTAGGAGGGAATGAGGGGGAGAAAGGCCAAAGACATGAAAATTCCCATGCACTATGAATAATAGCTTCCATTTTTTCTTTCCCATAATATTTTCATAATGCTCTAATCCATGTGGGTAATTGTTTCAACATTTAATTTTCCCACCAAATTATTTAATTACATTTAAGACAGGCACATTCATTTTGAATACGTCAGTGAAGCCATTCATTTATTCTAATGGATTTACAACATGGTCAGGTACTTTTTCACCATTAACTTTGTGGTGATAGAAAACTTGCCATAGATTTATCTTGCTTCAATTATAGTTTCATCAAAATGAATTCTTTCAAAGTCCAGATAAGGGTCCCCCTAGAGGAAAGGAGAAAGATTTTTCTCTGAAAACGATCATTAAGTCTGATAAACTATTAGCCTGAAAACTCTTCCTTTGCCCTTCAGTTTAGAAGGACGAGCTTAGACATTTCACCCAGAAGATGCTGGCTAAGAGGTAATAAGATTAGAGATTGAAGAAAATGGTCATTTTGCACATCTGGAGCATGCTAAGTTGTTGGTTTGGTTCCCAGATGGGTTTGCAGCCCATGCTTCTGTGGCAACCCTTTGCCTATTCCAGTTGTCTCTGCCTTCAAAGGGATTTCTGTGTCAACGAGGTAGTAATGTTCATTGCCACAGCCTTCCCCTATTACTGCTTCAAAAATGATTGGCTGCTCCTGCCTGGCTGATGGGGTGCTAAATTTTCCATTCAGGATTTTAGACATGCAAAATGGCAGTAAATAAAGCACATAGTTTTCAGCACCTCCATTTTCCCTGCAGCTCAGGATTTGGAGTTCAGATTAACCTTTCTCTTAGAATCAGGGTTTGAACAATGAAAGAATGTCTTCTAACAGTGCTTTTTGCAATTCGTTCCTTATTGATTTTTTTAAACAATTTTTTCTCATTTATTTATTGGGGAGTGGAAAGAGGGTTGGTCATGAACACTAATTGCAAAAGAGACTTCTAAACATAGGTAGTGACAGGTTAAAATACTTTAGCAATTAGTAGCTATGTGTGTGTGTGTGTGTGTGTGTGTGTGTGTGTGTGTGTGTGTGTACACGCACACGCGCGCACCAGTACTGGGCTTAAACATAGAGCCTCTTGCTCTTTATTTGGTCAAGGCTGGCACTTTACCACTTGTGCCACATCTCCACTTCTGAGTTTTTGCTGGTTAATTGGAGATAAGAATTTCACAGACTTATCACCCTGCACCAGAATCAACACCAAATGGATCAAA